GTATTCTGGTCAAATTCTGGTCAAACTCTGGTCGTATTCTGGTTGAATTCTGATCAAACTCTGGTTGTATTCTGGTCATATTCTGGTAAAATTGTGGTTGTATTCTGTTTGCATTCTGATCATATTGTGGTCACATTCTGGTCGTACTCTGGTCAAATTCTGGTCATATTCAGGTTGCATTCTGGTCATACCAGCCTGTTTCTGGTATATGACCATGAAGAGCAAATTGAGAACATAAAGGGGCCAAGAGTGTTTCTGGAACACCTGACAAAGTGTTTGGGTTGTAAAGTAAAGGGTTGGGATAAAGTATAAGAAAAAAACCCCATGATTTTGGGTGTGATTTGGGGTATTTTGGGGTATTTTTCCTGGATTACCTTTTCAGTAATATCTGTTGTTACCATTTTTTGCTGAGATCACCTTTTTCCTGTTGAAAAGGAAGGGTCCCCCTGGAAGGAACCTTAAAGCTCATCTTGTTCCACCTCTTTCCACTAGAACTGGTTACTCAGAGCCCCATCCAGTATAAAATTACATTTTATTCTGTCTTTAAGGAGCAAACTGACAGAAAAAATAGTGAATTAATACCATCAACCATGTGTTTGATTGCTTAATTCGAAATTTTAACCCCTCAGAATGACAAAATCAAGCAAAACATGTGAAATAACTGATGAAGTCAGCAAATATAGAAACCATTTGGTCGGCCAGAGGGGAAATCTGTCCCTGATATTGTTCCTGTGAGGATCATGAAACGGAAAACCTAATGAGTGATGAAATTTTAAGATTTCAGTGCAATGAGCATGAACTGAAAAAGAATAATTTCTATTTAAACATAAAACCCACTGTTTTTTTTTAATTCTGAGGGCAGTCAAACACTGGCACAGGTTGCCCAGAGAAGCTGGGGGAGTCTCTGTCCTTGGAGATTCCAAAATCCAGTTGTCCCTGGCCCTGCAAAGCTGCTTTCATGTGCCGTACCTTGAGCAGGGGGTTGAATGGGATGATCCCCAGAGATGTCTCCAACCTCTGTGAGAAATAGTTAATTGGTAATAGATTTTTTCAGAATCACATGTTATTATGGATTCCTCCCCTGTGGATAATTCTAAATCTCATTGCTGGAACAGACTGACTGTTTTATCATGAGCTGTTGGAAGCCTTGACCCTTCACCGGGCTCTGGAATTTGCAGCCAAGGTGTGGAAGGTCTTCCTTATCCCCCTTTGGGAATGAGCAGGGCCAGTCAGGGCAGCTGTTGGCATTCCTTGCTCATGGATTTATCCACAAGAGCAGGGGAGAAGCTGCTAAATGAGACTTTGTATGTCATAGAAACACAGAGTGCTTTGGGTTCAAAGAGATCTTAAACCTCATCTTGTTCCACGGGCAGGGACACCTTTCACCAGCCCAGGTTGCTCCAACCTGGCCTTGGACACTTCCAGGGATCCAGGGGCAGCCACAGCTTCTCTGGGAATTCTTTTCCAGGGCCTCTCCACTCTCCCAGCCAGGAGTTCCTTCCTCATATCTAATTGATGATCTAATATATGATCTCTCTACTGTAGGACCCATAAGATTTCCAGGCAGTGTCAGGGTTATTATTCCTGTGTCTCAGGCTGGGAAAGCTGGGGAGCTTCACCTGGAGAAGAGAAGGCTCCAGGGAGAGCTGAGAAAAGGGGCTCCAGGAGAGCTGGAGAGGGACTGGGGACAAGGCATGGAGGGACAGGACACAGGGAATGGCTTCCCACTGCCAGAGGGCAGGGAGAGATGGGAGATTGGGAAGGAATTCCTGGCTGGGAAGATGGGGAGAGGCTGGAATAGAATTCCCAGAGAAGCTGGTGTGGAGATAGATGGAAATCTGAACATATCTAAGGACACAGATCTGCTGGGATGGGTCCAGAGGAGTCCATGGAGATGATCAGAGGATGGAGCAGCTCTGCTGGGAGGAAAGGCTGGGAGAGCTGGGATTGTTCAGCTGGAGAGGAGAA